TGAACCCAAAAAAAAAAAGACATAAGTATTTGACTATATTTTTTTAATTACAACTAGGTCTAAAGCTGAGTTATGCTTTAGATCGACAATTATATCTAGTTGTCCTCTTTTTCTTTTTAATAATTCGAAATTGAAGCGATTTAGCTTTTTATCCCTAAAACTAGAGGCATCCGTGCATTTGTCTCAAGTTCAAGTTCAAGATTTGAGAGACATCAATAATCTTTGGTATTAAACTCATTCGAAGGTGGAAACAAAATAACTCATTGTACCATAAGGCCTCATGACCTTGTGAACCGAACCTTTGATTAGGATGGACAAGTTCTGAAATCATTTTCTGCATTTGAAAAAAAAATTGAAATCAAATGATTTCAAATTCTATACTTCGGCCAATTATTTTCTATAACAAATGCGTCGGATTTGTGGGGAATTTAAACATAACATATTCTTATTTTGCCTTATTTTTTTAGGAGAAAAAAATAGATTTTTAGTATTAGTGTTATCGCTCTACCTACTCACACCATATAGATAAGCTCAACTTTTGATTTGTATGTTACACAGTTTTCTTTATTCTAATAGATATAATCCAACTCTCTCCGTGAGAGGCAATTTTTTTTTTTATCATCATCCAAGTAAATTTGGTTGATTTTCTATTTTGTTCCAGGTGTATTTAATTTTGCTTCTATTTCGACATTGTTTGGATCTTGTTAATTTTTTTTTTGGTAGATTTTTTTTCTTCTTTTCTACTTTTACATTTGTTGTCTTTTTAGTAATGCATATCGTATAATAACTATGATATTAAAAAAAACACCTTGCTACAGCATGAATAAATTGAAGTAAAAAGTGATCTTTGTTTTTGGTAGTTTTTTTTTTTCTTTTTCAAAAACAAATTTGTTTTCAATTGTTTCATTCAATTTTTTTTTTCAGGCGAGAAATAAGTGATAAGTGGTCTGCAATTTATTTTTCTTTGATCTGCAATTTTTTTTTAATATTATTTGAATCAAGATATTTACAATTTTTTAGTTTATTTTTTAAAATAAAGATAATTTTTTAAAGTTATTTGATTAATTTTTTTTTTTTTTTACATTATTGAAATTAGTAGGTGATATTAAAATATTATATTATTATTAATATGATATCCTACAAAATATTAATAGCATGATAGTAAAATGCTATATATTATTTGGATTTCCTACCAATTCTAGACGCAACACGAAGCGTTAGGCCGAAAAATATTTAACCATCTTAAACTATGATATTTTCTAAATCATAAATAATTTTATTATACATTATAATTCGACAACTTTGGGAATGGTGGCCTTGCATAGAAGAGATGATTCATTATTTCATTTTGAGTTTTAGTCTCAAAAAATGGGAGTTTTAGACCACAATAATCTTTCTATGTATATTTGATGTCTTATGATCTTTTCCACAAATCAATGTCTTCATCCTTAAATTTGGATAGAAACATTATCCATCCAATTGGTGTAATCATATATATTTGCCAAATTGGACTTTGTAATTCATACACTACATATGTCATTACCATGGACTTTTTCTTATTCCTCCCTTTACGTTTCTCTATCGTCCATTCAATAAATAAACCTTCTCGAGAAAAAATTTGGCTGCACATCAGATTTACTCATTCAAGAAATATGACTTTAAATAAATGTTAAGGAGATGTATGACTTAACCTGATCTTGACCCGGCTTGAAAGCCAACAATATTGACTCTTAAAGTTAAAACGTTGAAGTTTGTGTTGATGATATAGCAAGTAAACAAAGATGAACGATAGTATTGTTTTGTTATTTACGGCGAATTCTTCTATTTTATGGAGAATTTTTTCTCATAAAATTTGTGTGATTTTTACATTTTTTGCACTTATCTTTATAGCATTAAGAAATTCAAAGAGAGAGACTCAAGTAAACTCCAAGAAATATGACTTTAAATAAATGTTAAGGAGATGTATGACTTAACCTGATCTTGACCCGGCTTGAAAGCCAACAATATTGACTCTTAAAGTTAAAACGTTGAAGTTTGTGTTGATGATATAGCAAGTAAACAAAGATGAACGATAGTATTGTTTTGTTATTTACGGCGAATTCTTCTATTTTATGGAGAATTTTTTCTCATAAAATTTGTGTGATTTTTACATTTTTTGCACTTATCTTTATAGCATTAAGAAATTCAAAGAGAGAGACTCAAGTAAACTCATGTGGCTGAATTTTTAACCACAGAATAAAGATTTAGATGCACATTAATTTGGGCCAACAGATTTCAACCAATTTGTTATGGTCCACTTTATTAAGTTTCATTGGTTGATATATGGGTATTCCATTTGCTCCATTAAATTCATTTTGGATGACAAACCTTATCAACAAATACATCTCCATTGGTTATACATCTCCATTGGAATATAACCAAGTAAAAAAAAGTCATTTATATTATCTTTTCTTAGGTTAAAAGTTCGATGTTCTACCATTCACGTTGAATTAAAATAGTTTACGTTTTACTGATTTGAAAGTCCAATTAATCAAGAGCTGACTCATGCCTCTCTAAAGTTGCGGGTTCAGATTTCCGACCCTTATTTAATGAGCTCAAAAGAAAAAGGAACATTTTACTATGCATGCTTCATTAGTGTTGTCCATTTTAAGGTAAGTTTGCTACTTACTTCTATGAATCGTTTGTAAAAAAAAATTTAAAAAGAAAAAAAAAACTATGAATCCTTTACCATATGAGATTTTTTCTTTAGTTTTAGATTTAAATTTATTAGGTAAACATAATATATACGTACAAACTTATTAGAAAATTTGTATAGTAAGAAAAATATTTCGAATGTAATATATTATTACTTTTTGGTAAAAGTACTTTGGACATGGCATAATCTCTTACTTTCAAGTGTCTCAAGTCTCTAAAATTTTAATATTGTGTCTGATAGATTCTTGAACTTTAAAAAAATACGTAACGTAACATGTCTCTGAATTTTCAATTTCATATCTAATGGCTTCCACCTTCCTCACCATTGTTCCATCGCATTTGAGAAAATACATGGAGAAGATAAAGTTGCCGCCGACGAATAGCTCGATCGGACGATTATTCACCTTTGCCGAGGAATAACTCAACCCTATTTTCCATTTTCAGGGGCTTCTTCATTCATCAACGGGGGATTTCACAGGAGATTTCATTGAATTTTCAGTGGCTATTATTCACTGCATACTTTAGACTAGATTAAAAAGTATATATTATATAACCTAATAGTTTAATATATACTAATAAAATGTATATATTCTAAGATTAGATTAAACTGAAAAATATATTATATAAGGGTTACTAGAATTTTCAGCCGCCAAAAAACTAATGCTCCTCGGAAAAGTGAAACAAATCGTCGGAAAATTAATGGGTCACTAGAAAAAATTAGATTCACAGAAAACAGTAAAGTCGTTGCCTTAATTGGTTTGAAAAACTAAATAACGGCCAAAAGTTGTTAAATAAAAAAAGACGTCGGAAAAAAATAATATACGCCGAAAATAGAAGAATCACTGGAAAATTAACCCATAAAAAAAGGGAGTTATCTGTAACCTTGGAAAGAATAAAATAAATATCAACTGAAAAATTTTCGTGATTATTGAATTATTTGGAGAATAATTGTATTGATTAGTTACTATATTTATTTAATTATTTATTAAAATATTATCATTTAATCATTCATAAAATATCATTTAATCATTAATGTAATATTTGCATTAAATGACCATCAATTCTACTTAAAAAAGAATATTTTTTTATGGCAATTTGAAGAAAAAAAACTTATTTAAATTCTAGAAATCTAGATTTGTAAAATTTGGAAAATATGGACCTTTGTGAAATGTCATATATAACTTGAGCCATTTGAAAGAGTTTCCTTTTATTGGGCTTTTGGGCTCCCATTTTGTAAGGCATTCTCTCTTTTCAGTAGCCCTGAACTATTGGAATATTTGGTGCTGTAAATGTAACTTGGAATACCCAACAAGTGATATCATAACCTCATATAAGCGTTTTTACAGCAAACATTTTCTTTCAGAAATTTTGGAAAGATTTGTTATCATTGAGTCTAAATCACAACTAAGTTTCAACTAGAAAAATTTAATGGTAAAGCTAATTTTGGATTATAGAAAAAGAACATTTAGTGCAACAAAAGGTTACAAAAAGTTCTTCCATAGAAGTATCTCGTTGAAATGACGGAACGAGGGAAAGAAGATATGCTTGAAACGCCTTTAAGTACACCGATTTTGTATTTGTTGGATAATGTTTTACGATGGTCGATGATGCCACCACAACTTTAGAGGTATGGGAAAATTATTTCTTGTCAAGTTTTTGTCCAATAAGATATATCTTAAGGAGAGATTTTTTAATTTTAGAATTGATTCTTCAAGATCATTAGATACAAATTTAGATGAGCTTAACAAAATTTTCTTGATTTAGCCAAAATTAGAGAGAAAATGACTAAAGAAAATCAAACAGTAATTTTGTTAAATTCATTGTTCGATTCATATAGAGAAATCAAGACAATAATTAAGTATGGAAGAGACGGCTTAGATATGGAGATAGTTCTGAATGCTTTAAAGTCAAAAGAACTTGAGATCAAGTTGGAGAAGAAGGATAGTAAAGCACTGTATGTTCGGGATAAAGCAGAGAAGAAAAAATACAGCAAGCAGAGAGGAAAATTACTGTCAAAGTTGAGAGTCAACGAAGTGTTACAATTGTTAGAAAGAAAGACATTTCAAGAGAAATAGTCATTTGTTCGTAAAATTACTATAGTTCTTTCTCTTTCACGCTCATTCTCATTCGCGATAATTTTCGTTGTACTTCTAAAATTTATCCTTTATTATCATCATTGTCGCTTACTTATTACTATTTTTTCCACATTTATCTACTTATCGTATGGTACTGTTAATCGTTCACAATGACGTCTCATTTTCGTTCAAGCTCATTCTCGTTCAAGCTTATTCACGATCTCTTTCGTTATCTATTTTGCATTCTTACTGCTGTTTTCCACTGCACCCGTTTATTCTCAATAAACTAAAATCGAATAAGTATAAAAATAAATATATGCAGCCTTTAAAGAACATCAACCAACAATTGAAAGAATTAAATTTCACGTCTTTTCATCTCTCTCGCTCGTTCATGCACGCTCTCGATCAAGCCTATGCACGCTCTCGCTGTACGCTCTCGATCAAGCTCATGCACGCTCTCGATCTCGCTCTCGATCTATATCATCCTCGAAATAGCTATCCATATCCATTTAACGCGCTAACGATCTCCTTCTTGTCTTCACGCCTTGTCCGTCATCTTCTCTCCCTCTACGTCTAAAAATCAACAACCCAGTAAACAAACAAATAAATAACTTATATGAGAACAAGCCCAACGAAAACATTTGAAAACAAAGACCGAAGGATAATGAAGTTCGAGCATCGAGAGTCAGTCGCCTGTAGATGACAGAAGCAAAACAACCCTAATAGTGAGAGAGAAATGAAAAACCGATAGATACTGGAGTTCAAGCCTCGAGAGTTGCCTGCAGATGAGAGAAGCACAAGCAAAACAACGAAAAATAATGAGAGAGAAATGAAGTGTTTTCAAAGGAGGAAAACTCAAAATAATGTGATGTGGACTATAATTTAACATTAATAAAAGAGGAACATGATTTGAATTGTTTTTTTTTGTTATATGAAAAGCAAAAAATAATTTTGGAAAACAACATTGGATCATTCTCCAATCGCTAAAACCAAACTCCATTTCCTTTCTGGCGTTGGATTTTGGTTCACTTCCGCTGAAAAAAAAAAAAACCCCCAATTGGCAAAACACTATCAAATTACCAAACAGACGCAATTCAAGAATACGGAGCAGCCGTCGCCACTTCCCACAGATCATCGGGGCAATTACAACGACCTCCGTTGGGTAAGTCTCCTAATTCCGCCGCCAATGCATCTCAGATTCCGATCCCTAATTCCTGTTCCGGCATTGGAATCGGAATCCATGGATATCCCTTCATCCTTTTGCTACTCTGTAACGATTTGATGTGTGATTTCTTTGCTTTGAAGGCCTCAATTGCGAAGTAGAACCAAATGGCGTCCATGGAAGTCGACAGCGCGAACTCTAATGTTTCTGACCCTGATAATCCTAGATTTTCCACTAACGGTATGCCCTTGTCAATTGGCTGTTGTTTCCTTCGTTAATCTTGAAAAATGTTCGAGTTTTGAGGTTTCGGGACTGTAAATTCATCATGTTGGACTGGTTACTTGATGTTGATGCTGCCTTATCCGTTGTTTTTTTTTTATTTGTTTTCGAAGTATTGCAGCTCTTGAAATCTTCCCAGATGCAGCATGGGTTACGTCATGGAGACTACACTCGCTATCGGTTTGTGCTCATGCGTTTTGTATCATCTGTTTTAGTGATTACATTGTTCTGCTGATCTAATTTTTTGTTTCCAATTATGCTAGCATTCATACTGTTCTGGATTTTACTTGATTGGGTGGTCTGTTTGACTGTTGGTGGATTTTATTTTTTTGATGCGCAGGAGGTACTGCACAGCTCGGCTAAGGAGGCTTTATAAATCTTTGAAGTTCACTCATGGCCGTGGAAAATACACCCGACGGGCCATTACTCAATCAACTGTTACTGAAGTCAGGTTTGTCCCATTTAATTTTTTATTTTATTTTATTTTGAAAGCAGAGAGTAGAATTAGATTTTTCCAATATCTACTTCTTGCATCTCTTCTCTCCCTTTTTTCCATTCGCTCTTCAAAGTAGTCTCCTGTTATTGACGAGAAAGAATTGTGCTCAAGAAATGGTTAACAAAATGCTCAATAATGTGTATCCTTAATTACACTGATTCTAATGAAGTGGGAAAGGAAAAAAAGCGAAAGAAGATTAGTGAAGTGTTAATTAATGTGATGATTGGTGCAGTTAAGGAACAATGGATTTAGAACCTTATGATATGAGTTTAAATCAAGTGACACATATATTGTTAGAATGAAAGGTGTCTATGAAGACAGGTGAATTGCAGAAGTCATTTTTAACAGAGTTTTAAACTATCAACTTTCTGGATTTAAAATAGGTTTCTCCATGTGGTTCTGTATATGGCGGAGAGAGCATGGAGTCATGCCATGGAGAAAAGGCAATTACCAGATGGTCCAAATGCACGTCAGCGTATCTATTTGATTGGTAGGCTCAGGAAGGCAGTGAAATGGGCCAATCTGTTTGCACAATTGTGTGCTAGCAAGGGAGACCCAAGAACATCTTTGGAAGCAGAGGTTTGATCCTAATTTTCTCCTTACAAAATGTATATCATATATGTTAGTTTTTAACATTAAAACTTTAAAATTATGTCTTAGTGAATAGTGATTTTTTTATCATTTTTTTGTTTCTCAGCTGATCAAGTATTTGTTCTTCCATGTAGGCTTATGCATCGTACATGACAGGGAACTTGTTGTTTGAACAAGATCGGAATTGGGACACTGCATTACTAAACTTTAAAAGAGCCAGGTGCTTCCTTGTATTTTCTTGATTTTATGTTCTTTGTTAAAATGACTAAATAATTCTTATACATTTTTTAACGGTCAAGACGCATTATCCAAATCTTTTGCAATGTGGAC